CTATAGTAGAGGGACCAAAAAGGGTATTTAACCTAAGATTTTGTGACACAATGGGCATTTATAAATCCAAATGAAAACTTGTGAGTAAATACAAGTGGTACTACCAAAATAGGTAATTTGTAGTGTATGGTCACAGTGACTAGTAATGTTGATTTTCTTAATAAAATCATCTGCCCAAAAGACGTAATTTTCTGCGATATCATATATTCTAATTCATTTGTGAAAGAATTGCATATTGCATTTATGTGCTCACTCATAAAAGTGGATTTAGCAATATGTGAATTTTTGAGATTTTGTCTTATTGAACTAGTTGGGTTTTTTAAAATTATGGCCGCACTTAGAATTAGTTAGTTAGCTTTCTTTTCAATATAAAATTAAAAATCCAATTTATGTTTAAGGAGAACATTGAAAGTTTCCCTTGCGTAGACTTCCGTTAATTGATGAATTTGATTTAATAAAATAGGTTAGTTAAACTTGTGATGGTTCAAAATATTAAGATATATATGTGAAGCCCACTTATTGTGATCACTTGTGTTAGCTCAAAATATATTTCGGATAATGTAGTGTAGGCCCAAATCCGATAAAATTTTAATCGGTGGAATTACTATTAGAGTTCTAATACAAATTAAATGCAATGTCTATGTAAACAGTTCGTTTTGACCCAATGACATTGAAACCTGAGTTAGAGTTGTTCACTCCTTTGGGTAGCATGTTCGAACCCCTATGCAACTTTTTTCAAAAAAAAAAAAAAAAATGCAATGCCTATAACCCTTCTTCTCACCAATTGTTCAATATCTACCCATTTAGCTTAGCTAACTGGGCAAAGAACCAACTTTGGTTTTTTATTAGTGGACAAACCCCAAAATGGGCAGTCTAGTTTGTTAAATTAGTGAGAAAGGTCCCAAATCCAAAATGATCTCCATATAGAAAACCACGTGGCTACCTGACCTATATAAGGCCAAGACGCAAAATTAAATGCCATTTTAAGCCGTTTAACAACCATACTACATTTGGGAGAATTTTTTTTTTGTTTTAATTTGAATTTTAAATGAAAATTAATGTGGTTTTGAAACTTTGGGTTTAAGAACGTCTTTAAATATTAGTTTAAAAAATGTTAAAAAAAATTCACTATTAAAGTTTTATGATTTTATAGCAGCATATTTTGTTAAAAAAATGTATATCAGTTTCAACTTTTAAAATAAATTAAGATTTTGATATTAAATTATGTCATTTTATTTAATTAAAACTTAATTAAAAATTTTAAATTTTATCTTATTAAATGTTGATATTTAAATTTAGAAAGCAATTATATTTTTTTAATATAATTATTTTCTAAATTTAAATATTAACATTTAACAAAGTAGATTTCTGAATTTTGAATCAAAATTTTAATTTCTAAATATAGGTTGGGATTTTAATTTTTTTAATAGTTGAGATTGATATGTATTGATTTGCATTTTGTTAATAAAAAAAATAAAATAATTTGTGATAAAAGCACAAATATTCAATGATCTCAAATAGAAATTGAGTGGAAGGAAAGCCATCCTCGATTCCGTAGCCAGATTAATAAGTTCATAAGGCGCAATGCTCCACTTTAAGATGATGATCAACCCCTTAACTTTTTTCATTGGCAAATCGCCGCCTTTAGTTGTTAATTTGGTCAAATTATCTCTTATTTCACAGATGACATCTTTTGACATCATCAATTAGTCACACATATGTTTGATTCGTTCCCACCTTCATCTGCCCTGTTAATTTTTGTATATATATACATATAACCTAGATTTTTTTTTCTTGAAAACCTTAGTTTTAAAGTCAAGGGGAAGGAAAACAAATAAGAAAAATTTCAAGCCAGGAGAAAAAAACAAAGAGAGGTTGATGATGGTTCTAACGGACCAAATAAACATTAGACAAATTAATGACGTCAAATGACATCATCCATGAAATAAGGTCCAATTTGCCTAGATCAACAAGTATAGGGAGTACTTTGCCAGTGAAAAAAAATTAAGGGTATAATCACCAACCTGAAGTGGAGTAGAGGGTTTGGTATCGAATTCGCAGCCGTATTATCGTAGCTGCTTAACATGATTTACATGCTGGCACGAATGTGTGGCAAAAAGTAGCGTCTCAATCTACATATGCTTTACCAGCTCCTATTTATTCCTGCTTTGGTTCAACTTCGTGGCCAAATTCTGGCAGATTCACCAAAGGCGGATTCCCCAACGATAGATTCTCCAACGGCAGATTCTTCTCCAATGATGGCTTGGGTCTAATGTAGAAAAAAAATAGTATTTATAATTAAAACTACTCTGTATGAATATTTCTACACAAAACACAAAAGAAACCCTACTGCACGCTGCAGTTCCCCAAGAGAAAGAATAAACATCCAAGCCGCAAGGATGGCTTTGTCCATCTAGCGGTTGGGTTCTTTATTGTTTTTTTGTCCATTCTTTTATTGATGCTACTTGATCCCTCTGTTCGTGCGGGTTTGTGCCGCCCTTCAGTGTGGCTTTGTCCCTCCGGCAGTGAGGGCTTATTCTACCTAATGGTGCAGCTTGATACCTCCACAAGAGGTGGTTTCATGTCGTTCTTAGTACGATGTCATCCCTCTAATTATGGGGGTTTGTTTTGTTCTGTGATATGGTAGATGAAGTCTATGAGCATGATAGTAAGTTTTTATTTCGAATCTTCTAAAGTTGGGGTGTTGGAGGGCTCTTCAATCTCATTGGCTTTAGACAGATGTCAAGAAGTCGAATATAGACAATTACGTATAGACAGCTGTTGGAACAGATTGTTTGAGATTTTGGTTGACCCACTACAAGATTAAGAAAGTAATGGAATAAAAAAATGCACCACCATAAGAAAGACATAATTTATGTGGTTCAGCTTTAATTTCATTGAGTCTATGTCCACGGACACTCATAAGGAAAAATTCACTATTAAATAGGGAGATACAATTTGTGGTACTCTCAGAAAAATACCCAATTCCCAATTACACCAAAATCTTACTCACAATATTTTTGAATGCGAGACACACTCGAAAATCACACTCAACAAAGTAATTTTAACCACTCTGCTCTTACTCACCCTCACGCAAAGCACTCACAAAACTCTTTTATTTTCTAGAGCTCACTCTGCTTTGGATTACTCTCTTGGTTGCTTTGTCAAATGGCCAAATGGCTTTATAGCCAAAAATCCACTGCCCAAAATTAATGAAATAGGCTGCAAGGTCAAAATCCAACCATGCACAATAAATGCAATGGCCTTCAAAGTCTTAACCTTTAATTTCATGGATACATGCAGAAGCAAAATCCATTTTTGTCAAGATTTTTGGCTGCACCATCTTGCCAAATAACCATCACTTTCAACTCTACACTTTACATGAATTTTCAACACCTTTTTGACTGCCACAAGATTTCTCATGCAATCAAATTTCAAAGGTTGAAAATTTGCATGCTTTTTTCAACCACCATGTAGAACCCACATGCAGCAACAATCTCCACCTTGGTGAGCATTCAAAAAATAAGATTTAGGACCAATAGTTTCATTCCCTTGGTGCCAATATGCCCCGAGGGGCATTAAGCACTTTGGACACTAATCAAATCCAAGCAATGCTTGAACTTGATTCCACTTACCGGCTTTGTCATCATATTTGTAGGACTCTCGTCAGTTGATATCTTTTCAACGTACACATCTCCATTGGATATAACCTCCCAGACAAAGTGATACTGAACTTGAATATGTTTGGTTCTCTCGTGGTACATGGTGTTCTTCGTCAAGTGAGTGGCACTTTGACTATCACAAAACACCATCATCTCATTTTGTTCTACCCCGAGATCATTGACCAAACCCTTTAGCCATAATGCTTCCTTTACTGCCTCAGTAATTGCCATGTACTCTACCTCAGTTGTTGACAAGGCGACTATTGATTGCAATGTAGCTTTCCAACTAATGGCACACCCTGAGAGAGTAAAGACATATCCTGTAGTTGATTTCCTTTTGTGCAAATCGCCAGCAAAATCAGAGTTGACAAATCTGACTACATTTCCACTCGAATTAGCACTCCAATCATAGACTAGTCCAACATATGTTGTGCCTCGTAAATATCGGAGGATCCACTTCACAGCCTCCTAGTGTCCTTTACCTGAATTAGCCATATACTAACTAACCACACTAACTGCATGTGAAATATCAGGATGAGTACATACCATAGCATACATTAAGCTCCCAACAACACTTGCATAAGGAATACGTGCCATAAACTTCTTCTTCTCCTCCGTTTCTGGTGATAAATTTGATGAAAGCTTAAAATGTGCTCCCAAAGGAGTAGTCACAGCCTTAGCTTCATGTAAGCCAAACCACTCAAGTACCTTTTCAATGTACTTCTTTTGAGAGAGAAACAATTTACCTCCCTTGCGGTCCCTGTGAATGTCCATTCCTAAGATCTTCTTAGCTGCACCCAAGTCTTTCATCTCAAACTTACCACTAAGTTGCTTCTTCAAATCATC